TCCACACAATCGAAAGCCTTTGCATAGTCAATAAAGCACAGGTAAACATCTTTTTGATATTCTCTGCTTTCAGCCAAGATCCATTGGACATCAGCAATGATATCCTTGTTCTACATCCTTTTCTGAATCCGGCTTGAACCTCTGGAAGTTCTCTGTCAATGTATGATTGTAGTCATTTCTGTATTACCTTCAGCAAAACTTTACTCTCATGGGATATCAAAGAAATTGTCCGATGATTTCCACATTCCATTGGGTCACCTCCCTTTGGAATGAATACAAATATGGATCTCCTCCAATCAGTCGGCTAGATAGTTGTCTTCCAAATTTCTTGGCAGAGATGAGTGAGTGCCTCCTGTGCTGCCTCACTTTCTTGAAAGATTTCAAGTTGTATTACATCAATTCCTGTTGCCTTGTTCTTTGCCAATGACTTCAATAGACCTTGGACTTCCTCCTTCAGGATCATTGGCTCTTGGTCATATGCTACCTCTTGAAATGGCTGAACATTAGTAATTTCCTTTTAGTATAGTGACTCTGTGTATTCCTTCCATCTTCTCTTGATGCTTTCTGCATCATTCAATAATTTGCCCAGAGAATCTGTCAATAACAAAAGTCAAGGCTTGAATTCTTTCTTCAGTTCCCCTAGCTTGAAAAATGTTGAGCATGTTATTCCTTTTCGGTTTTCTGATTCCAGATCTTTGCACATTTTGTTGTAATATTTGGCTTTATCTTCTCGAGCTGATCCTTGAAATTTTCTGTTCAGCTCTTGGACCTCCTCATTTCTTCCATTTGCTTTAGCATCTCTACACTGGAGAACAAATTTCAGTGTCTCTTCTGACATCCATTTTGACCTTTTCCTTTTTTCTTGTTTTCTCAATGACATTTTGCTTCCTTTATGTATGATGTTCTTGATGTCATCCCACAACTCTTCTGGTGTTCAGTCTTTAGTGTTTAATGCATCAAATCTGTTTTTCAGATGATCTCTAAATTCAGGTGGGATATATTCAAGGTCATATTTTGGCTCTCATGGAGTTGTTTTCATTTTCTTCAGCTTCAGTATGAATTTGCATATGAGTAATTGATGGTCTGTTCCACAGTCTGCCCCTGGCCTTGTTTTGACTGATGATATAAAGCTTTTCCATCATCTCTTTCCGCAGATGTAGTCCATTTGATTTCTATGTATTCCGTCTGGTGAGTTCCATGTGTATAGTCTTCTCTTATGTTGTCTACAGAAGGTATTTGAAATGAACAAATCATCAATTTTGCAGAATTCTGTCATGTATTCTCCAGCGTCATTTCTATCACCAAGACTATATTTTCCATCTACTGACCCTTCCTCTTTGCTCCCAGCCTTTGCATTCCAATCACCAGTAATGATCAATACATCTTGATTGCATGTCTGATCGATTTCAGATTGAAGTAGTTGGTAGAATTCTTTTATTTCATCCTCACTGGCTTTAGTGGTTGGTGCATAAATTTGAATAATAGTGGTATTAACTGGGCTTCCCTGTAGCCGCATGGATATAATCCTCTCACAGACAGCATTATACCTCATGACTGATCTGGATATGTTCTTTTTGACAATGAATGCAGCACCATTCCTCTTCAATTTGTCATTCCCTGCATAATAAACCATGTGGTTGTCAGATTCAAAATGGCCAATACCAGTCCATTTCAGCTCACTAATACCTTAGATATCGATGTTTATGCGTTCCATTTCATTTTTGACAACTTCCAATTTTCCCAGATTCATACTTCGTACATTCCATGTTCCGATTTTCAATGGATGTTTATAGCTGTTTCTCTTCATTTTGAGTTGTGCCCCATCAGCAAATGAAGGTCCTGTGGGCTTTTCTCTCCATTCATGTCATCACGGTGAACTCTACTTTGAGGAGGCAGCTCTTCCCCAGTAGCATTTTGAGTGCCTTCCAACCTGAGGGTCTCATTTTCCGGCACCCTATCTGACAGTGTTTCTCTGCTATTCAGTGACTAAATATTCGGAAGTAGTTTGTCACTCTTTCTTCCTAGTCTGTCTTTGTCTGGAAGCTCATCTGAAACCTGTCTACCATGGGTGACCCTGCTGGTATTTAAAATACTGGTGGCATAGCTTTCAGAATCATAGCAACTCACAAGCCACCATAGTACGACAAACTGACAGACAAGTGGTGGAGCAACACATAAGTAGCCAGTGTGATTTGCACTTAATTCTGACGCTATAGGCTGAGCTGTTTAATTCTGAGATTATAGCAAAATCAAACTTTTTGGTTCCAGTCTTTTTCTAATCATATATTCTCTTCTTATTCTTATTATACTCAAGAACTCATTTGTTTCATAGGAAGAATGATATGGCTTTTGAATATTTTAAAGTTGTAGAGGTTAGCTTGTCAGTAAATCTGAAATAATCTGATCTTTCTAGATGGAGCAAAAGAACATCATTTACACATCCTGATTGCTTATGGTGGAATCTACGATGGAGTTGTCATTCTTGAGCATCTACTATGTGTCATAGGATGAAAAAACAAAACAAAAATCCCCAAACTCTTTGCCTGAGTTGATTCCAACTCATGGTGACAGAGTTAAACTTCTCCATAGAGCTTTGCTTGTTTGTTTGTTGTTGCCTATAATCTTTACTGAAGCACATCACTATGCCTTGTTTCCCCCGCCTGGCTGTGTGGGTTTGAACTGGCAACCTTTAGGTTAGAAATTATAGTAAATAGATATGCTACTTGCTCTCATGGAGTTTACAGTCAGTTGGGCAGACATTAAACAAATATTGTTAAGGGCCATCAAGTAGATTCTAATTCATAGCAACCCTACATAGGGTCCAGCTACTGGGTTTGAACTGCGATCTTGCAGTTAGTAGTTCATTGCTTATCCTAGAGCGCCACACAAGGACTCCATTAAACAAATATATACAAAGATTTATACAACTTGTGGTAAGTAATATAAAGGAAAACATAAAAAGTCATAATTTAGATTGGAGGCAAAGGATTAGAGAATTCTACTAAAAACACATATAAAAAGTGTTTTATTTCCTAGGATGCAAGGTGGTAAAGCCTCCAAAACCCTATGAGGTCGCAGCTGCTGTGGCATTGAGACCTGGGCGTCCCATTGTGGTGAAGTTTTGCCCCGCTCTTAGGGGATCGCTGACTTTATTGTACATTGTTATGGGGAAGGGAGGGTTTTCATCGCTCAGAGTCCTAGAGTTTTTTATCACTGGAACTTCCTGACTGTTACCCTGGTGTCTTCCTAGCATCTTTCTGCCAGATCCTTCGCTCAGCTTTGACAGCCTCCTGTCACGCCAATCTACTACCCGGGCCTGATTTTGAGTTCTCGCTCTCTTTATGTGAAACCGTAAGTTCACGAGAGGGCTCCCAGGAAGGCTCTCAGTCTCGCCATTTCACTCAGCCACACAGCCCATCCCTCTCGGACCTAGCGGCAGGTGGGCTAGGAGAAGGCCTGATCCGCTGGGTTACACAGCACTTCTTATCCCTTGGCCACTCGACCTGAGCGAGCGCTGAGCGCGCGTTCTGGGCTGTGGGTGCCCAGCGCGCGCCGCGAGCCCGCGCTCGCTCCTATCCTTCCTCGCTCCCGCAGCGGCCCGGACAGAGCGCGCCGCCTCACGCTCGTCCCCACAGGCCGTCCCAGTCAGCCTTCGCGGCGCGCACACCAACGCGGCCAAGCTACCAACTTGGGCCGGCCGGCTCTCGGGTTCGCTCGCCCCGCCCCTCCTCCCCTCCCCGGCGCCACTGCTGGGCGCTTGCGCGGGCGCGTGGCCGTGGCCCTGGTCTCCGCTGCAGCCGGTGGTGCCGCTGCCGCCGCCGCCGCCGCCGTCTCCTCAATCAGTCAGTCAGTCCTCAGCAATGGCGGAAGGAGGTGAGCGAGAGGAGCTGCTCTCGCCGCCGCCGGTGTCTCCGGCCAAACGACTGTGCTCGTGGCCCAGCCCGCAGGCTCACCTCCCACGCGGTTCGCCTGGGACAGTCAGTGGCGGGTCGGGGGGCGTTGGCGGTAGCTGCCTGGCCCCCGGGGCCCGCCCCCACCTGCAGCCTGAGTCCTTGCTGGACTGCGCCGCCAAGACAGTGGCAGAAAAGTGGGCGTACGAGCGGGTGGAGGAGCGCTTCGAGCGGATCCCGGAGCCGGTGCAGCGCCGCATCGTCTACTGGTCCTTCCCGCGGAATGAGCGGGAGATCTGCATGTACTCCAGCTTCCAGTACCGGGGCAGCGCCGGCGCTGCTGGCGGCGCCCAGGGGACTTCGCCGGCCGAGGAGGGGCTTCCGCTGTCCCCCGGGGCCGCAGCTCCGGCCGGCTCCGCCCCCGGGGCCGCCGTGGTTGGGGCGTCCCCGGGACTGGGCGCTGGAGTCAGCGTGGCCGGTGGCGGCGGCAGCGAGGGGCTGCCTTTTCGCCGGGGCATCCGTCTGCTGGACAGCGGCTCGGTGGAGAACGTGCTGCAAGTCGGTAGGTGTTCGCCCGGCTTCGCTCGGTCCCTGGCCGCCTCTTCCGCAGGTGCCTCCTCCCTGCCAGAGATCTGGGCCGAAACCCCGGTTGTCTACCCAACTCCTGTTCCCCTGCGGAAGGACAAACAAGTCACATAAAAAACTTTTCTCAACATCTCATATATGTCCACTGCCGCTCTGGCTCTGCTGGCCTTCTAACCCCATTTCTTTTTGTTTGGAGAGTGAATAGGTGTTGTTTCTACTCTTCACTCTACTCCCCACCTCTAAGGCAAAAAAAAGAGAGAAAAAAATAAAAGCGGGGGGTGTTTTTGGGGATGTCATAATCTCGGAAATGCGTTTTTCAGATGTAAGTTTGGAGAGAATATTGTTAGTGAATCTGGAGCAATTGGTCATACAGGGAATATTTGAGGGACAGACTGTCAAAGGCAATCTATAGTTTTAGCAGATTGGAGCTGGGTGTAATTAACTTTAAAATCAGGAAAAAGAAAACAACAACAAAATACAGTCCTCTGCAGACAGTTTAATGGTCTGCTTTAATATTTACCTCCCTGTAAACCAGTAATGCTTGGGAATCCAGGCTGTGGACTAACAATAACCGAAGATGGAAATGTGACAGCGTCTCTTCTCCACACCCCTACCCAAGCAAAAAAAAAAAAAAAAGAAAAGAAAAAAAGCCACAATCTGGAGTGGGGGTGGGGTCTGTCTTCCTTATCAGACTGGGGTAAATCAAAAGCTGGTCACGTTGGATTTTTCAAATGCTTCTTTTTGACCAAGTCTTCGTATTTGCCCTTTTTTTAAATTAGCATTTTGTGTACGTGTGAGAATGAAAAATTATTTTCTTTTCTTTTACTCTTCCGTAGCTTCCAGTTTTGTTAATCTGATTGCGTATGGAAATGCAGTGTTCCTGATTCGTGGGATGGCTAGGGAGAAAGAGAAAAAAAATGACATTGTTTAACATTGACATGCTATATGGAAAATTAAAACACAGATTTTTTTTTCCCCCTGTTTGGACGACTGCAGCATTCTAGAAGTGTACCTGTATCTTTACACATTGTATTGTACAGTATATGCTGATGTTTACTGAAGAACGTATTTTTGAAAGGAGTTGGAGGGGGATTGTTTTTAGAATTAAGCATGCACATACACACAAACCCCAGACATTTAATTTTTTTCCCCCTTAAAGGGTGGTACATTGTGTTTTATATAAAGTAATCAACTCTGTTTATTGAGAACCCCAGAGTCCTGTGTTTCTATTAAAACAACAACATGACAAAATTTGTTTTGCAAATATGAAATATAAATTTGTGCTAGAATACAGTGACAGTAAATTGAGAAAATTTTATTTTAAAGAGGTTATCCTTTGTGTATTTGTGAATATTTTTGAAAGAATTAATTGAGTAAATAAGTAATTAAAGTGTACAGTTTTAATACTTAAGTATTGAAATGAAAATGAAGAGATATTTTTCTGTTAGCCTAGAAACTTCATTTTCTCTATGAGTGTAAATGAGTGAATTTTGACTTTAAGATTTTTGTTTAAAATATTTTAAATGTAAAAGGTACTGATGGTTTTGTGGACTCCTGGTGTGTTGCTGTAGGATCAGCACTGAACTTCAGACCACATGGTCAGCAGTTCAAACCCTCCAGTAAGAGATGGGTTTGAAAGAATTTTCCAGCTGAAGGGGACAAATGAGGGAGAGTTGTTGTTGTTGTTAAGCACCATGGGGTTGTTTCTGACTCATGATGACCCTGTATAGAGTCCCTGAGGCTGTAAATCTTTGAGGAAGCAGAAAGCCTCATTTTCTCTCAGGGAGTGGCTTGTGGACTTGAACTGCCAACTTTGTGGTTCCCAGTCTAGTGCTCTTTGTGGTTCACAGACCTGTACTTAATCTACAGAGTCACTGTGCTCCCTTTTAAAGAGGTATATATATTTTAAAGTACTATAATGTCAAATTCCAAATGAAATAAAATGTTATGAGTGATCCAGACCATGTTTAAATCAGATTTGAAATATGTGATAGTGTGTTTATGGGTTGATGGGCACTTGTATGATAGTTTCTGTGACCTGGAGAAAAGACATACAGAAAAGCATGTATTTCTGATTCTCACTTTAGTTGTCAAAGATGAGGATAGAAGAATGAGTTCATCACTTTTAGGTAATGCTATTTGAGAGCCATGAGCTGTGTAATCTTTATTTTTTCTGTCCTTAATTTATGCTAATGTGTATGCAAGAGAAGGATATTCTGTTCTCTGTCATTTTAAGTTCTATAAGTTGGTATGAAACACCCTTTAATATGTAAAACTAGACTTGCTGCTTATCTCCTAAATTAAAAATTGTATGTGATTTAATCAAGATGTAGGTTTTATAACAGTATTACCAAAATTTGAGTTGGAAGTTATTTGTGTATAGTAAGATATAGTAATAATGTTCTTCAGTTTATAACTTCACTTCATTTAGCCTTTTAAGTTACTAAGTGGTTGTCGTTGTTGAGTAGGTTCCAACTCATAGCTACCCTGCATAGTTTTTCCAAGGAGCAGCTGGTGGGTTTGAACTGCCAACCTTGAGATTAGCAAGGTTAGTTAATACCCTAAGGCACCACACCAGGACTTTAAAAGTCTGTATTTCCATATTATTTCCAAGCCCTAGTTGGAGTTTAGAAGGCATTAAAGGATAATGCTTTATGAAGAAAGGAAAGTAGGGTTACTTCTTTTAAAGAAAACATTCAAAGGGGGATTTAAATTATAAGCATCACAATACATGAGAAGTTTTGAAGGAAAATAATGAAAAAAACTGGTTCAAATAGTAGGTACGTATATTAAATTCTGTAACTTCTGATTGTGTTTTGTATAGGCTTTCTAAATGAAAAACCATAAACTCTGGTACAAAGTCTGGTGTGCTGTAGAAAACAGCAGATTTTGAATCACAACTAAAACTTTCCCAGCTTGATGTAAACAAATGCAAGAACTATAGGTTTGTTATGCTCAAAGGATACATTTCTTTTACTTGGCAATAGTGAATCAGAAGTATTGTTCCTTTTAAAAGGGGAAAATTGCAAATTAGTCTTTTCATGGACATCTGTAAATTTGAAGCTATGTGAATAGATTTACAGTCTGATCTTTCAGTATTATGAAGGTAATAGAGTTCAGATGTTGTAAGCAACTGCATTTTTAACCTGTTTAAGAAGCCCGTGGAGTAGCAGCAGTCTAAATCTTGTAAAAAATACTTATTCAAGAGTCTGCAGATGGTGTAAGAATGGGGCAACTACAATTTACAATAGTTTTAAGACTGTGACCCTTCTTTGGTATTCACCGTATTATAAATTAGTTTTTCCTTGTTTGGTAAAACTTAAAAGAGGTTTGTGCCTTCTCAGGAAAATCTGAATTGATTTAAGGAAAAGATGCATTAATAGTAAAAATGGAAATATATTTATTTGAAAAAAAAGTTTTTTTTTTTTTTAATTTGATGATGCCATGCAGGGTCTTCTGTGCTGGTTGGTATATCTTAATTATATACATATTTATCCAGAAATTTTCAGTAGACTGTGATAGGTGACTTCAACAAAACCCCTTGTTTTTAAACTGTATATTTTCTAAGTAACTAATGTGTCTTTGAATAGTCCTTAAGACTAGACCCACAATGCTAAGCACTACCTTATGTGGAAGAAGTATAATTTACAAAGTTAATAATAAAAAGAAGAGGTACATTTCAAGAAGTTATTAATAACTTAAATATCAAATTGTTGTTGTAGTTGTTAAGTGCCGTTTAGTTGGTCCTGACTCATAGTGACCCTATAAAGGATTTGAACTGCCAGCCTTGTGCTTAGCTGTTCAGTGCTGACCCTACAGCCTCAAACCAGGACTGTAGGTATTGTTGTTAAGTGCCGTCGAGTTGGTTCTAACTCATAGCAGCCCTGTATAGAGTTTCCGAGGAGCAGCTGGTGAGTTTGAACCACCGATCTTGTGATTCAAACCACCTGCGGTCCAGCACTTACGCTATAGACCACATCAGGACTCCATATATCAAATTTGTTGTTGTTGTTAAGTGCCATTGAGTACGTTCCGACCCATAGCAACCCTATATAGGGTTTTCAAGGAACGGCTGGTAAGCATGAACCGCTGACCTTGCAGTTCAAATAGCTTTGTGGTCAGAATTCCAAATAGTATGTTTTAATTATGATACCTGCTCCCGTAAAGTTTTACAGCCTCAAAAACTCTGTACAGGGTCGCTATGAGTCGGAATTGACTCCATGGCACATAACAACAATGACAATCAGTAAACATGGAGTCCTGGTGTGGCGCTGTGGGTTAATGCGCCAGACTGCAAAGCCATTTGAACTGCAAGGTTGGCGGTTCAAGCTCACCAGCTGCTCCTTGGAAACCCTATACAGGGTTGCTATGGGTTGGAATTGACTCAACGGCACTTGACATCAGTAAACAAGCCAATGAAGACTTTATGTAATATAACTTTTGCAAAATGTAGTATAGCAAATATTACAGTTGTTGATTTTTAGACACAATTTGCTTAATCTACATTTGTTTGGGGAGTGCAGTGGCTCCATATGATTAAACATAGGACTGTGAACCACAAGGTCCACAGTTTGAGCCCACCAGCCGCACTGCAGGTGAGAGATGAGGCTTTCAGCACCCCTGAATAGGGTCACTATGAATCGGAACCTACTGGACCTACTGGAATCCACCCTGTCAGAGGCCCAAGTCCATATACATATGAATGGGATTAATCTAAGGGAGAGAGAGAGGGCCTTCCAGTATGTCCATTATTATGGGAGCAGGCCACACCCCCAAGGAAACATCTTTCAATTGATTGGTTGCTCGTGACGACTTATCATAGAGGTAATTATTCCTGTATTAAATTTCATCACCATTGGAATAAGCACATCTCAACTACCAAACCAACCCAGTCAAGTTGACACAAACCCCTATTACAGCCCACCTTTGCCAACTTGACACCTATAAACTATATGTTTAATCACTGAGTAAAGAAAA